TGCCCAGGCAACTGAGGGGAAAGGATGGACGGTCAAACCTGTGATTCGCGCTTTCTATAGGTCGTGACCTGTGTCTGCAAAAAAGCCTAAACTTAACCTGGTTTAAAAACTACCACAAGTGCTGGCCTCTTCTAGAAGACCTGTCACGTCGATTTTGCCTTTCTTTGTTGTGTTTACAACAATAACTGGTAGGTTGCTGAAGGAAAAATGTCATTTCCAAGATAAGTTTACAAAAAGAGTCTGATTTCTTGGACTCCTCATGTGGCCTTTTTAAAGGTGGTTTCCAAATTTGGCGTTGTTGAGGTAGTAGAAGGGTCGGGCTGCCCCTTCCGTTGCTTCAGAAAGCCCAAGGAGGTAGGAGTATTTACTTAAGGTCACTGAACAAGTTAAAAAGCCAGATTGTTTTTTGCTCGAAATAACTACGTACGTTATTGAGCCAGGCGCTCTCTTAAATATTTGGTTACTTTATTTAGTTTCTATGTCAGAACCATTCGAACAATATAGGTATTATTGTCAGGTTTTAGTTGAGAAACTGTGGCTATGCAAGGTAACATATGTTGCCCCAGCTCTCTGCCCAATAAGTGATGGAGCTGGTTTGGATCTTGTGTCTGTTGCTGTACTCAGAGTTCAGTTAAGTCAGTGGCACATGTTTGTTACTATTATTATTGTTATTGTTATTATACAGGTTGTTATTATCAGGTACCATGTATGGAGCCGATGGAGCCCCTACCAAGTGGTTGACAGGTTCACAACCCTGTGAGGTAAAGGTTAGTCTCCTTTCAGTTGAAAATACTGAGGTTCAGAGTTGATTAGGGATTTACTCGAGGGTGCAGTGTTGACTTTTGGTTCTGGCTGAGCCTGGTATCATTCTAATTCACCCAAAAGTCTTAAATATATTATAGCTGAAGAGAAACCCACAACTTTATCCTATGTTATTTTCTTTCTACCCCCTCATCATTATCTGAATTTATTTATCCTCTGTCTTTAGCTATTGGAAGATAAATTCTAAGGGGGCAAGGACTTCTGTGTTCGTTATTTCCCATGTCCTAGAGTAGTGCTTTGCACACTGCAGGTATTATATAAACACGTATTTGTTGATCAAATTAAAGGCACTGTTACTTCAAACTCACCATGTCCAAAACAAAACTTCTCCAAACCTGGGTCTTTTGTATCCTTTCCAGTCTCATTAATATCACAGTGCTTCCTGCTTCCTCACTTCCTGTGATGGGCAGCCTCTGAACTGGCCTCCAATGATCTCCATCTTCTGATATGCGTGCCTTATGTAGTCTTCTGTGTGTGGACTGGACTTAGTGACTCGCTTCTAATGAATATAGTATGGCAAAAGTGCTGAGATGCCATTTCCAAGATAAGACTACAAAAAGACTCTGATTTCCTTCCTGCTTGCCTTCTTTCACTCCCTTGCTCTGGTTCCCCTCTCACACCCCTCAACTTCCTCCATCTTCACTCTGAAGGAAGCAAGTCTCTATATTGTAAGTAGTCCCTTGGAGAAGTCTGCATGGCAAGGAACTAATGTCTCTGGCCAACAATCAATGAGGACTTCAGACTTAATAACAGCCATATGAGTGGGCTTGGAAGTGAATCCTTCCCTAGTTGAGCCTTAAGGTGACTGCATCTGTAGTCAACACTGTAACTGCAGCTCAGGAAGCCTGGGTCAGAGGCACCCAGCTAAGTTGTACCCTGATTCAGGACCCACAGAAATTGAGATAATTATTGTAAATTGCTAAGATTTGGGGTAATTTTTTACACAGCAATAGATAACTAATATACTTTCATACGCAAACCATTACCTAAACCTATTCGTTTTATCTAATTACTTCTAAAAAAAAAAAGTACCTTCCCTCCATTGTTGTCTATGCTCTGATTTACCTATGGGCTTCTCTTCTCTGAACTACTATAATAGCCTACTAATTCACACACTTTGCTGATCCCCTTTTAAATCTATCTCTGTGTTGCATCATCTTTATAAAACACAAATCCAATCATATCAGTCCCCTGCTCCTAACCCTTTGGTGGCTATAGAGCTTGCCTGCCTCTCCAGTTTCATTGTAAGTTATGTGGCCCCCTTCATTTCAGTAACATTGAGGGGTTTTTTAGTTGTTCATGTTCAGCATGTTTACTTCTAGCATAAGACCTTTGAACTGTTCTCTTGTATGAGTTACTTCTCCCTTCTTTCTTTGGTTAAGGCCCACTTATCCTATGAACACAGAATTTATATCAAGGGTCTCTTTCTCAGGGACTCCTTCTCTGGTCTCCCAGACTTGATCAGATTCCCCCTACTTGTATATTCTCATAGCACCTTAGCTGTTAGCATTATTAAAAGCAGTTATGAAATTTTTTATGTGTTTGTAATATTGACCATCTCTGTTGGACTGTAGAGTTCAAGAGAGCAGAGTCCATGCCTGTTTTGTTTACCCTTGAATCCCTAGTGCTTGATATACTACTTCTACTTTGTACCTGGCATAACTAAATAGTAATATAATATATGAGTGAATGAAGGCAGGAAGAAGTGAGAGAAGAATAAATTCTTAAAAGACAGCCGTAGGTTTTGGTGTTGAAAAAACAAGAAGCAAGTAATTGGAAACATATTAAGGTGAAAGAGTAAATTAATAACTTCAATTTATTCTTGGAAAAACTAGTTACAAGGCTGAAGTGATTAACCACAATATATCAGTAAGCTTCATTACTCAAGTGTTTTGTTTCTAAAATCACATATTTTTTCAATTTAATGCTGAATAGGACCAGTATCATTTACTTCCATCTCCTTATTTCCTTGAGAGAAAGTAATTGTCCAAGGCCCAATTGTCTAAGGGTTGGATCATCTCCTAGCCCTCCTAACTAGTTCAGGAGACTTACAGTTGAATTTTTATTATCAAATGTAGTATAGGGCCTGTCCAGGCAATGGGCAACTCTGGAGGCTGCCCAACTCAGGTCAAAGTTGTTTTGTCTATGGCAAGAAGTACCCTTAAAACAGTGGTGGCTATAAAGCAAAAATAAGAATGTGCCCTACTTTAACAATGTGAGCTAAAAACCAGAGATAGGAAGAGATTTGATTTTATAATATCAGATGCTCTTGTTTGATTTGGATAAATGCAAGCTATGACCAAACACTTGGATTTGGCTTTGACTTCAAGAATGGCTACTAGAATTCAGCACCCCCCACCCCCCACCCCCAACCCTGAAAAAAACTAGCTTGCCCAAAGAAGTTTGCTTAAACCAAGTTAGTTACGTACATTATAAATGGTAGTGAAAGTTTCTTTAATTGCTACAATTTTTAAAGAAGCTGGCAGAATTAGTAATTGCATTAAATTGCTTAACTTAATTTGACAACATTAAGAATTAGTCACTTTACAAGCTTTAAAGTGCTTGTCTTTGTTCTACAAAGAAAGTAATTTGGTGGTGTATTAATATTATTAAAGGATATTGGATGGTATTTAAAATGAAATAGACTTGAAACCGTTTTTAAAGGGTGGCAGAGTCTTTGTATGCCAATGTAGTTATTCAAGTTAGACGATATGGTTATTAATTTGACAAGAAATAGTGTTCTTTTAAACTACGAATGTACAGCATTTACCACGATATATTTGTAGTTTATATTTTGGTTACAGTTCATAATCAAATTATTTGGCATAATGGGAAGAAAAACAGATATTGGTTTGATCAGATATTTTTTGCTGCACAATAATCTAAAAATGTTTACTCCTGGGAGGGTGATTTTATTCCACATTATGAACTAATTTTATGAATGACATTAACGCCAAGTTGATAGGATAGTTTAAAAACTGTGCCTATTTTATAGATTCAAGTGTGCCTATTTTATAGATTCAAGCAAGTTAAGAAAACTTAGTGATACCTAAGTCATCTATTTGACTTTTGATTTGAAAGTAGTGATGTCTTCTTTTTTTAGAAAAGTGTGGTATGAGGAACGTTTTTGAAGGCATTACTGCTTGCAGGTTTTCCCCTCAATTATTTTTTCTTTTTGTTTTTTTCTCCCTGGTCTATGACATTCTACAGGGACTGTTTCCTGCCTGCACTTTTAGATAAACAAAATTCATACATAAACTTGAAATTTCTAAAATGGGCTACTACCTGAAGATTTTCTCAGAAAAAAACTGCTCCAGTAGTTAAATATTTCCCTATGTATTCCCTATGAATACTTCTCTAAATAAAACAGTTTTATATAGCAAGCACTCAAGTTTAGAAAAATGAACATATTTGGAAAACACATCTTTGAAAAGATTAAATGAAGTGAATTGACATTTAATACCAGTTTGTTTTTAAGTAACATCAGTGCTCTTATTTTGTCAGAAAAAGTGAAGTTAGATATAAGTAGTAAGTTTTTCTTATTAACTATCCCTAACCTAAAGCCAGTTAGTGTTGATTCATGATAAGAAGTCTATAGAAAACTGAATGTCCACATGCAAAAGAATGAAGTTGGACCCTTACCTTATATTACATAAAAAATTAACTCAAAATGGACCTAAACATAAAACTTGAATCTAGAAAGTTTTTAGAAGAAAACACAGGGGAGAATATTCATGATATTGGATTTGACAGTGATTTCTTGGATATGATGCTAAACTGACAGGCAACAACAACAACAAAATACAAATTAAACTACATCAAAATTTGAAACTTCTGTGCGTCAAAGGACATGATCAGCAGCATTAAAAGGCAACCAATGAAATGGGAAAAAATACTTAGAAATCATATATCTGATAAGTGTATCTTCAGATATACAAAGAACTTATACAATAATAACAATAAAAGACAAATTATATTATTCAGAATGGGCAAAAGATGTCAGTAAACATTTCTCCAAAGAAGATACACAAATGGCCAAGAAAGTACATGAAAAGTTGCTCA